GCAAGGAAACAGAGAAACTAGAAACACGGAAACTTAGAAACCACGGAAGAGCTATACAACATACAATCACCAGCGATGACAGAGAGTGTGTGTGCTATTCTTATAGTCCTACTAATGTGAGACAGCTGTGAACGGATGATGAGATCTGATGAGAGACAGGTGATGCACTTGATGAGTCCGGGCAAAGGCTTATGGGAAATGGAGTCCTGAGTGAATGGCAAGGTACAGAATGGAGTGCCCTCTAGAGGAGCTCATGGGCACTCCAGCTGGAGATCATGACAATGATGAAATTATAATAAATGCTTTATAAATTATAATATATTGTAATAGATCTGAGCTGAATCAGGTTAGGTCCATATATGCCACATGTGTTACATTACACTTCGGCTTTGTTTCTCCCTCAGATTACTTCACTTCCTGTTATACAACATAAAACAAGACCAGCCTGTTGTTTTCAAGGGTTTTAGCAGACAAGAACTAAATGAAGAGGTGAGTAAGATGTTTCATTTCTGTATATAAGCAACTACGGTATAGGCATATTGTAAGTATTCTATTTTATTTTGGTCTATTCTTATAGGAATGGATGAAAGCATTGATTGGCTACATATTATTAGACACTGGCATGTTTTTGATATAGTTTTCCTGATACAGAGGATTTCCTGAAGTGAAAATTACTTGAGAACTATTAGATGTGGTAACATTAAGAAGCTGTTACTGTTTTACATTTTTATTTCATTTATTTGTTTATTTATTTTTCTGAACAAATATCTTGCAAAGTGCTTTTTTTGCCACTGTCTGCCGTAAAAATGCAGTAAACAGAAATGATTCATGTTGATGGAATGAAGTATGGCAGGTTGTGTTGCAAAGTTTCTTTGTGAGAGGATCAGTTTGTCTTGTCATTTTACAGTAGCCTAATCATAACATCGACTTTTTGATATATCATTTAATATATTGGAGTTTATTCACCAATTCACTTCATTGTAATTTCTTATAATGGTAACACTTTACAATAAGGTTCATTAGTTAGCATTAGTTAACTACTTTAGTTAACATGAACTAAGAATGAACAATACTTCTACTGTACAGCATTTATTAACCTTAGTTCATGTTAATTTCAACATTTACTAATGCATTATTAAAATCAAAAGTTGTGCTTGTTAACATAATGCACTGTGAATTAACATGAACTAACATGAACAAAGATTAATAAATACTGTAATAAATGTATTGTTCATGCTTTTTTTTAATTGTTACAAATTTATTAAAATGTATTTGCCTTTTTATTTAGAATTTTTGAATAATTTATTTAATTATTTTTTATTTGTAGGAAATGCAAAGTCAAACTCCTGGAAGGCTGGGCAAAGGGCACAAAATAAATTAATTTCAAGGGGGGAAAAAAACTTTTTTAGGTGAATACAGTGGATTCCCAGTTTGATGTAAAAGGAATCAAGAAAAAACATGGGAACACTAAAACAAATCACATTATATGTTGCCCTCTGTGGCTTCATTTCCCCATCTAGTGCATTTTCCTTGAAGAACTGCACAATCAGTACTCCCCTAAAAGACATCCAGCTGAAAGTACTTTGCTACAAAATGGGCTTTTTCAGGATTCCGTGGATACCTAGAAATACACGGATTTTAGATATTTCCTTCAATGCCTTTGCA